AACACAGTGGCTTCAAGAACTGTGGTGCCCACAGGGGTGAGTKCGGTGAGAGCGTGTCCAGCCTTCGACAGCAGTGGTCAGGGCTGCTCAAGTTCAGGGTTGCTGCGTGGCCAGCTCCCACTAACTCATAGGCTCAGGGCGACCCAGGTGTGTTGGGCCACAGATTCTAGCCTGGGTGTTCACTGTGTCCCATGTGGGTCCCCTGCTTGGGGCTTCCAAGGGCTGTGTCCCTGTGCTGCCATCCGGGCCAGCTCCCTGCCACTGCCTGGGCCGCTGAGGCACCAGGGATGGGGCTACTCTGGGTGACTGGGCTCCTACCCCGTGCCAGCCCTCTCGGGCTGCTGGCTGTGGTCTCTCTTAGTGGTCTCTTGGCCACTCAAAGGGTCACTCACAGGGTGAGTCCCAGTTAGATAATCTCACTCTTGTTTACTCAAAGTGAGCTAACTCAGGGCCTGGTGGTAGTGCTGCCTATACATAGAAAAATTCTAAATCCTTATTGATTCATTCAAAACAGCAATAAGTCAATTACATGYTAAMATARATGACACATTGTTATAAACATAACGGATTTATTTCCAAACAAAATAAAAAATAGTGAAAAGATTATCTTTATTTTAGAAATTTGCCAATCTCCTTACTGTCTGGCTGGATAGAGGCTGCTGGGTTCTCATTCCCACCTCTTACTCCACCATGTCATATTAGTGGACATGTCCATCCACTGGGCAGGTGGACAGTGAGGTGCACATGGAGTCTAAAGAGCTATGGGACCGGGAGGTCTTCAGTTGTATTTGGHGAAGTGCTGTTCAGAGGAGCAGCGCAGAGTGCAGGCTCAGGGTGTCTCAGGCACACACAGCCTCAGGCAGAGCCCTGGGAGGAACAGCAGGACCATTCTATCTAAAAGTCCCTTCAGCATGGATGTTCAGGGTGCCGGGGTCATTGTGGCTTTTCATAACCACTTTTATTGCTTTTTWATTTCATAACCTCTTTAGAACCTAATGTTATTGGTCTTATTATTCAGGGTAAATATCCAATATTTGTCAATACCCTCAGAATGATAACCCTGTACATTTCAAAAGTTCAGTTTAAAATATCAGAAAAACACACAGCCAGTATAATACTGAGAAGTACTAACCATCCTCAAGAGTTACCCAAAATATTAAGTGAAAAATGTTTTTAGAACTTCATGATGTTC